CTCCCATGTCGGTATTTGTAACTGCGTCGAGAGAACGGGTGTCATCGTCGTCGGCGGTGCTTTCGGGAGGAGGTTCGACTGGGGCCCTAGACAAACGGTCGGCGTCGTTATGTTTGCGGCCAGACTTATGCACAGTGGTCACGTCGAATTCTTGCAGTCGAAGACTTCAGCGAGCGAGGCGTCCTGACGGGTCCTTGAGGTTGGCCAGCCAACAGAGAGCGTGGTGGTTTATGACAACACGGAACAGGATCTCGTACAGGTACGGGCAGAACTTGGTTAACGCCCAGAGGATAGCGAGATATTCCTTGTCGGTCGTTGAGTAATTTTTCTCTGCCTTGGACAATGCCGGGCTTGCGTAAGCGATTACGCTCTCTGCTCTGTCTTGTTTTTGGGCGAGTGCCACGCCGAGTCTGGCGTTGCTGGCGTTCGCGTGAACTTCCGTTTCTGCTGATGTATCAAAGTGTTTAAGAATAGGGGGCGACTGGAGTCTTTCGTTCCGTTCGTTGAACGCTTGTTCTTGCTGCTCTCCTGGAAGTTTGTGTCGTCCTTCGTCAGATGCGTGAGCGGTGCAGAAATCTTGGCAGAATCGCAGACGAAACGTCTGTAGAAAGCACACAGCCCAAGAAATTTTCACACAGCTTTCTTGCCTGATGGCTTTGGAAATTCGTCGATAGCGGATGTCTTTTCAGGGTCAGGAATATAAGCTTGCTGTAAGCGAATCGACATTTTGATGGCATTAGTGTCAGTCCAGCATTCTGGATAGCCTGTAGCACGGCTCGCATACATCCCAGGTGCTTGTCGAAGTCACTTGCGAATATCACAACATCGTCGAGGTAGATGAGACAGCTTTGCCATTTCAAGCCGGAAAGGACGGTGTCCATTACGCACTGGAAGTTTGCCGCTGCTGTGCACGGTCCGTGCACAGTCTGAACGGCATCACTTTAAATTCGTACTGTACGTCCGGCGTGACGAAGGCAGTCTTCTCAGGATCTCGTCCGTCGACCTCGATCTGCCAGTACCCACTCTTCAGGTCCATGACGAATAATATTTGGCATGGCACAGCCGGTCCACAGTGTCGTCGATGGGTGGCAGCGGGTAGACGTCCTTTTTTGTTACGGCGTTCAGTCAACGATAGTCCACGCAGAACCGAAGAGTGATTGTCTTTCTTCTTCACCAGGACTACCAATGAAGCCCACGGACAGTTTGAGGGCTGGATGATGTTGTCGTCGAGCATTTCTTGATGTTGCTTCTGGATGACTTCTCTCTCTTTGACAGAGACACGGTACGGTGACCTATGAAGCGCGTTGTCATCAGTAACAATTCAATGTTTCGCAACCGTCATTTGGCGTAGCTTTGACGACGTGGAGAAGCACTCATTGAACTCGGCGAGAAGTTTACTGAGTTGTCGTCGCTGTGGGGTAGGCAGGGTTGGATCAATGTCGCACTGCGAAGGCAGGGTTGCCTTGTGTGGCCACGAAGAGAGGTCTTCTGTTATTCCGGCGAGCCCGGGGGTTCCTTGGCGTGTCCCACAGCGGTGCCTTTTGTAAGGTGCTGAGCCTCTGGTTGGAAGTTTGTTACTAGTACAACAGTATGTCTGTCTTGAATCTCCGCAGTGCCTCTTGCGATGCCGATCCCGCTTCCCAGGAGTAGTCGGATGCCACCTTCCAGCAGAGCTTCTCCACAGGTGCCCTTTTCGGTCCTGACAGGCACAACTACACTCGAGCGTGGTGGCAAGTACATGTGGTGGGAGAGTACATGCACAGTAGCTGACATGGCTGCTGTAGTTTTCTGATCCTTGGGCATTACGACAGGCTTCCGCAGCCTCAACTCGTTGGCTTCCAGGTCGATGACGGCGCCGTATTCGCACAAGAAGTCCATTTCGAGTATAACGTCTCTCGCACAGTCTCGTAGAATGACAAACTTTATCGGACACATCTCGCCGTGAATCTCAACGCGAGTAGTGCATCTTCCGACTGGTGCGATATGTCCCCCTGCAGGCTGTATCTCTGGGCCATCCTACGGCGTTGTCACTTTTCGAAGGTGTTGGGAGAGCATCCCACTCAGGGCGGAGTAGTTTGCTCTGGTGCCGACGAGAGCCGACACGTCATGGCCCTCGATAACGACGTTTAGGTTATTCTTTACCGTTGGAGGAGCGTCGTTTCGGTCTCTGGTAGCGTTCGAATGGGGGCCCTTCAACGTTTGTGGAGGTCCTTGGCGTCGTTCGTCTTCGGCAACTCCACCTCCAGGGGTCGCCGCGCCTAGTTTCCCCGGCAAGGAGTGAGGGGCAACAAGCTTTCACGTCAGGGTCGGTGCATCGGCAAAGCTGGACGTTGCGGCGATGGCGACTGGAACTCTCGGCAGGACGCAGGCTCGGGGAACTGAGGTCGTCGCAGGCACTTGTCGATCTTTCGAGGGCATTCATCATAAGGGGGGCGCGGGTCGTTCGAGTGAAACCCGCACATCCCGAGTCGTCAGTATGGGCAGCGGCGGTAGGCGTGGTCTGTTTCCCCGCAGTGGAAGCACAGAGGGCGTCGGTCGGGCGTTCGCCACACGTCGGTCTTCCGGGGTGCTCGGGGCTCCTGGCAGGCTTACTGGACCTGATCGCTGTGGTGTCGGTCGTGCTGCGGGGCAGGAGACTGACGCCGGGGCGGCGCGACATAGGTGCGAGGAGGTGGCGGTGGCCATCGGTGCACTGCGGCGTAAGTCATTGTGGGTTCCTCGGGGGCTGCCACGACGACAGGAGCTTCTGGTTGGATGGCTCTCTGGACTTCTTCCCGCACGGCCTCGGCAAAGGAGAGCGAAGCTGGTGTGTCAGCGACAGGTACCAGCTTTCGAAGCTCTTCCCAAACAACGTTACAGAGGATCTGCCGAATGCCTGGGATGTTGGAGCCAAGGTCGCAGCTAGCCGGCACGAAGGCAGCGAGGCCGTGTGGTCGCTGGTAGTGACTGGCTCGGGCTTGCAGGGCACGCTCGATGTTCGTTGCCTTGGTGACAAAATCTTTGACTGTTGTCGGAGGGCTACAGACAAGGCCGCCGAAGATGTCTCTCACGCCCCGCATGAGGATTTATAGCTTCTCTTCTGTAGCCCGAGGGTCGGCGCAGGCGCGCAGACACAGAACGTCCTCCACGAAGCCGGTGACGCTCTCTTTGGGGCCCTGGGTTCTGGTTTGCGGTAGATCTTCGGCTCTCTCTCGGCGGTGGTGGTTGATAAATGTGCCCTTCAGCTCGCTCTTGAGAATGCCCCACGATGTCAAAGAGGACTGATGATTTTCGTACCAGTGCTTGGCAGTCCCCTCTAAGCAAAAAAATAGACGTTGTGCAGGCGCTGCTTGTCGGTCCAGCCATTGTGGTGGGCAACGTGTTCGTACTGGTCGATCCAGTCTTCGAAGTCTTCGTATTGCTCTCCGCGGAACGGAGCAGCCGTCCGCGGTGCGACGTGCAGGTAAACGATTGTAGGAGCGGCCGGAATCTGTGACTGAGCCATCATCGTCTTGGGCTTGTCCAGAAGGAGACCAAATTCAGGAGGCTGTCCGTGGCTGTGGCGGCAGGCTCGGGTGTTGGGCTCGTCGACGGGGCTCAGCTTTCCGGGGCTTGAAAAGATCGTGCCTGACAGATCTGAGGGGTACGTTTCAAAGGCATAGAACGCGCTACCCTGCACATCCACCAAAATGTCACGAATGGCAATTGATGAGGCGACGAAAACTGAAGCAAACTAAACGTTCAATGGGGCAAACTTGTGCCCAAAAACAGAGTAGAAAAAGGCTTGCATCGCTGGCGTCGATGGTGGCGAAACAGCAGGATCAAACGCTGGGGCGAGACTGACTCTGGCTCGCCACGCGGGGCCCCTATGTACACGCGTCTAGAACATTCGGACCTCGATTACGCAACAGGGTTTTCGAATTTACTAGAATGCGAGAGTTGGAGATAAGAAAATGTATGGTCTGCTGCCAAAAATCGATCCGTGGCCCTTTGGGTGGGAACCAAGCACGATAACCGTTAGGCCACGGGCGCGCTGCCTACTTAGTCAGCTGCGTGCGCTTTTAATTTAATTCTTATTATGCGCATCCCAAACAAACTGTTATAAAAAACCCTTTTTTTTTTGTGTGGTTTTTTAAGTTGAGACTGCAGCCAATGCCACACGCACGGGAGCTCGAGGTCGCTGCTTTGAAGCGTCCTCCTGCAGAAAGAGCGTGCGCTAGAAATGCACATATCAAAGCCAGGAAAGCGGGCTAGCTCGCAGTTGTAGCTTTGGCTGCAGTGCCAGCTTAAAGGGGAACTCCGCCGATTTCTTCATGGTCTCCGATTTGCTTGAAATTTTGCTAAACTCGCCAAACAACATCGCCAAAATAGTATCCCAAATATTAGGTCAAAATAATTTTTTTTCACGAAGTTATTGAATTTACAATTTTGGTCCTCACCGTGTTTTTCAAACTGAAAGTCTCTACTGGCAACAATGAAAAAGTGACGTCATTGGAAGTGCAGCGGTTCACTCTTTGGACTGTAGAATTTGTTCCCAACTGATTTGAAGCAGTTTCATGGTGTCAAATGAATGCTTTGGAAGCTCGCTCCAGTCCCCGCGCTCCATCACGGAACAAATGATTGACATATTCTATTTTTTAGACTGCTCGCCCGACTGGCAAGCTGACCTTCCAATGACGTCACGGCCCTGAAAAGTGCGGGTATATTTGAATGTTTGTTTTTGCATGATTTTCATTTGCCGATTTCGCAATAACTATTATGAATTTCACGATACTAAATAGCATACTAGAAAGGGTAAAGGCCGGGGAGTCAGAAAGTATAGTTAGTTGAGGTAGCTCAAAAATCGGCGGAGTACCCCTTTAAGGGTGTACCCAATATAGCGTAGAAGCTGTGTATTATGTAGTTGAATAGCCTAGTAGGCACAAAAGCATTTCAAAGTGCTGCTTGTTGAAAGCTCCTTCGAGCGCTGTCTCATCTTAATTGCATGTCACAAACCGTGTAACCAGGCAATTCTCGTGCAGGTGTCGTGGTTCGCTGCCATGAAAGCAGGCTTCAGCACGAAAATCGGAAGCTTGCCAGGAAGTTGCTGGTGGAGAAAGTGGACGAGCACCTGAACGGGGACATGAGCGTCTCAGCCCAGAAGCTGCGCTGGGCCCAGAGCAAGGAGCTCAAGTCTAGCCAGAGGAAGGCGAGGCTGCGGGAGCTCAGAAGGCAGTTCAAAGAGCGCGAGGGTCTGACGTAGCACTTCTTCCGGCCGGTGTAGGTGAGCTCCGCTGCACGGGTGTAGTCAAATAAATTTGATTCTGAACTTTTTGTCTGTGGCATCACTATGGAAAGTGTCTGCGACCAGGGGCAAATTTGCAAAGGGGAGAAGGAGGGGAACAACTGCCCCCCCCCCCCTCCCCCAATCACCTTCTCCTGAGCCTACCCAATGGCAACTCCTTTTATAGAAAAAACGACATGCATTAGCTTTATTTAGAAACAATTTTTTAGTATTTGGTGAAATGGCAATTAGGTGGTCGACAAATTACGTAATATCCCGAGTCATCGTCCACCCCCCTGCCGCCTGAAATTCTTAAAAAAAAAATGGTGGGCCATGTCTGTGGGTGAGCACAAACAGTTTAGAAAGCGGGAAAAAAAAAACGCCCATTTTTTGTGCGTATCTAGCGCGAGTGCAGAAGAGGAACTCAAATTAGTCTTATTGTTTTATACAAAAATGCTCATGAAAGAAAGTTTTATTATCGCGAAGTCCATTGCTTGCATACGGACTATGAACACCGCCGATCTGCATACAGCGCGAACGTTTAATATTTATAATGATAATTTTATTGGCACGAGAAAGTTTTGCCCACTCAGTGTCGTGCAAGGCTAGACAGAAAGGTTAGTGCCCTTACGCATATGCGCCTGCTAGCCCCCTGCTGAGTAGGTGTGAACCTAAACAAACAGTGGTAAGTACAAATAAGTAATCCGTGAAAGCGCGTCACCGCTATGTTCTCCTCGTTAGTAAAGAAAAAGAAAAGTCCACAAAAACAGAAACCAACAGGGCGCAGCGAGCGAGCGGACCAAAGAAGCGACGAAGAGCGATGCTGGGGAAAGCCGACGATCGCGTTGGCAAATTCTTTGGCGTGGGGCCAAATCGGGCCTTGTCAGCATACATGGGTAAATTACTTTCAAAATGTAATTTAATTACAATTACTTTGCTACAATTACTACTACGTAAAAAAGTAATTACAATTACAAATTTCTTTAAAACAGTAATGCAATTACTTTACAATTACATATTTCTGAGAGCGACCCTACTTTGGCGATATAACTTTAAACCAGTTGTATAGAATACGACATATTTGTTAATTGTCCCGATGTTTGAGGAGGCGCTGCATAAATGCTACATATCGTACTTTTCTTTTGTGAATTTGGTTAAATTCATGTTAGAACTTGACAGTTTGAGGCAATGAAGTACTACATCCTTATATTTTTTTAATAAATAATAAATTAGTTCTAATGCTGGAAGACGCCAGATCGCTAAAGCAAAAATTGGGTTGACAGTTTTCTTAGCCCGGTAAATAAAAATGGGGCAATTAGTCATATATGAATATTCGATAAGTGTTGATATAAAACTAAAATCCACACGCGCTAATACGACCACATTCACATACAAATATCACGGTATTGTAAATATTTTACATTGAGTTGAGATTATGATGGCTCAGAAATATATAAGAACGGAATTGAGGCTCCCAAATCATTGGTGATAATATTCAGAGGTGCGAGGTCAGTTTCCAAATCGCTTGTGCAAAAAATATACGAAGTAAAACCAGCAGGAAATATACTTGAAAATAACAGGTACAAATAAATATGAGACAGCAATGAAAAACGTAAAAACCTGTCAAAAAAAAAAAAGAAAAAAGAAAAACTTCATAGACAATTAAAGTTCCCTAGCTAAACTAAAAGCTGAAGCTAATTTTTTTTTTCTTTCAATATTTGGCATGTTTGCGCTGTTGTTTTTTGATCGCACAGCAAACGGCGCATCACGGCTCCGTTGAGGGAGGCTCCAAAGATGATCACCTCTCAGCCCGCAGTGTTAGCAACAAAACAACAGACAATGCGACGCTATTTATGTTGCGCGTGTGTGTGAGTGCGTGTCTTTGTGCGAGTGTTTCACCGAGAGGTAGGCCGCTTGTGCGAGCGCTAAGGCTTCCAGAGAGGATCCGTCGGCGCTGCAAAGTTTTGCAAAAGTAATTGTAATCGTGCCTGAAATTTTGCAATTACTGATGCTAGAAAGTAATTAAATTACAATTCCCTTTGGCCAAAAAAAATTCATTACAATTACAAATTACCAACAAAAGTAATTAAATTACAGTAATTCAATTACTGTAATTAATGGGTTAACGCGCGCCCCCGTTATTCGCTAAAACGTCGATTCGCTCAAATGTCGCAGTTCGCTAAAACGTCAATCTCTCATCTAATATGAACCCGACTGGGGATATTACGGCAGATCTGGCCAATATCTCGCCCGCAACATCGCACCTGTCCTTGATTTCAGATCTCTGAAATCAAGGAAAATTGATTACTCAAATAAATTGATAATCTGCAACGCATGCCGATTATCAAACTATTATCCGCAGAGGGCTCTATAAATACCGACAGCCTTAAAGCTGAAGGGGTACGCGCCGTCGCCACCGCCTGCGTCGCTTCGTGACGCCTGACCTGCTTGTTCACCGTAGATGTACAGTTGACTAAACGCGTAGCATGGGGCAGGCGACGGAAGAGGCGACCGCCTTCCAGGTGGTTCTTACTGGATTTGGAGGTTTCGACAAGGTGACGGTCGGCGAACGAGTGGTTGCTGCCGTCGACGAGCTCGGAGACGCCGATGTGTGGGTGCGGGTCAGGGCCTGCGGGCTGAATTTTGCCGACAACTACGTGCGCCAAGGAATTCACGTTACCGGAAACCTTCGGCCACCCCTGGTGATGGGCGCCGAAGCAGCGGGGGACGTTGTTCAGGTCGGCGATGGCGTCCGAAGAATCAAGGTTCGTTCCAAAGCATGGCTTGTACTCACCTGAGCGCCGAATTAAGGGGGTGGGTGGGGGGGTCTAAGGAGGCTGCAGCCCAGGGCTTTAGCCCTAAGAGCAAAGGAAGAGTGCCCCCTTGCCTTGGCGTATGTATATATTTTTTTGTGTTATTTTCGGATAACAATAAAGTCGGAATGCCTGACAGTGTCCTGCCCCCTTCAATTCAATGTAACTCCCGATAATAGAACTTCAAGCAGCGGGAGAATTCGGGGCCCCCGCCTAATGTCCCTTCCTGTAGCTTATTTACTTCGAGCGACCTTGTTGAGAGGGCGATAGCGAGGTCGAGTGTAGGGATGCCGCGAACCACCCTAGGTTCGAATTCGAAAGGTTTCGATATTCTCGAACCGAACTAATGTTTGATTTCGAAAAGGTTCGATATTTTCGACCGTAGGGAGGTTCGAAATCGAAAAATTCGCAACTTTCCAAAATCGTGGGGTTTGAAATCGAAAAGTTCGAAGCTTTCACGGTTTCTAAAAGTTCGGGTTCGATTATTTCGAATATTTGTTTACTTGAGGTTCGATAAATTCGAAGATTTCGAACTTCCCTAATTTGAAATTCGAGAGATTCGAATGTTTCGAATTTCTTTAAATCAAAAATCTAAAAATTCGAATGTTCGAATTTTTAGACATAAAGGTCGCTAAATTCAAAGATTTCGAATTTCTTTCTACATAAAGTTCGAAAAGTTCGAAGGTTTCGATTCTCTTTTAATGCTAAATTCGAAAAAAAAAAAAAAAAAAAAAAACTTCGAAGGTTTTTTATTTCTTTGAAGTCCAAGTGCGCAAAGTTCGAAGTCCAATTTTCATGTTCCGCCACAGTTTCAGTTTCAAATAACGTTTTCACGCCTCACTGGTATTCACGAAATCAAGTTTAGAAAAGTTCGGGTGTGATATTTAGACTGCGCGAAGTTGGTCAGGCAATTAAATGAGACGACGAGTGCCCCGGATGTGCTGGAATATTTGCAGCGCAGTGACGTGTAACAATAGATCAGTAATTGTGACCGCCAGCCCGGGGTGGTCATTAACGTGCATTACGAAGTAGTGATCCTACGAACGCACTGTTTAACGATACTCATCCAGTTCGAAACGGCCAGGGGCAGGCAGGTGGTTGAGGTTCAGAAAAACCTTAAAGTGATCTGGCAAATTGCCCCCCTACCCCCTTGCTCGCTGGTAGTAATCCGATCGAACGCCGCCCGAGTGACATGATGCAAAATCCTGAGACTGGGAATGAAATTTGAAAGAAAAAAGTGTAAGAAGACAGAAAAAAGGGGACAGGACAACGTCTCAAACTCAACTCAGCTGAGTTTGAGACGTTGTCCTGTCCCCTTTTTTCTTTCTTCTTACACTATTTCTTGCGAATTTCATTCCCAGTCTCGGGACTTTGCATCATGATCAAAATACACCAGCTCGCCTGCACCTTGACAATTTTTTTGTTTGTAATTGCTTTGGAGGTTAATTTTCTGGGGCGGAAGAAACGCTGAGCAAAAAGCACAGAAGCTGACGCAACGTGAGGTCGAGGAGCGTTCTACCATACCACTGGCATCGGAAGAGGAAAAACAGGGGGAGGGGGGAGCTCCAGTCTCTCCCCCCCTCCTCCCACATGTTTCGGACTGTTAAAGAAAACAATACGGGGAAAGAGGGCATGGTCGAGCTTATTTTAATCTGAAATTATTTATGCACATGTATAGCTACTGTCGCTCTTCACTGCATAAAAGATCTCGTAGTAGATGGTCATTGTTAAGGCCGGTTCTCACATGCAGCGAAGCGCTGATGTAACTCTGCTCACGTGCCGTCAGGTACTTATCGTATGCCATGAGCAACAGTTTTGACGGTGCAATGCAAAGCTGGTGAAAAAAGTTAACGCTCCCGTCGGCACGTGCTTAGCACGAGGTCAGCGCTATGCTTGTTGCGCTCCGCTGCATGTGTGCCTTTAGAAACCCGTTGTCAAGAGGCACTACTCGTCACATGCTCGGTGGCTCGAAAGTTCAAAGCTATGTCTTTTCGACCTATTGGTAAAAAATAATCAATAAATAAACATGACAATAAATGCAAAAATAAGAACCTGGAGCGAAAAAAAAAAAAAAAACTATTAAGAACCCGCCGGAAGTGTTGTATTCTTGCATATTCAGAGGCCCAGAACTATGAAACAAGTTTCTCCTACCAAAATGTGTACAGGCCAAAGGAAACACGTCCCAAAAACGTAAAATGAGATTTTTTTTTTTTTTTTTTTTTTTTTATGACGAGCTGAATTTGAGAAATTTTAGAAATCTTTCCCCATGAGGTTATTTATTTCTCAACGTGAAAAAAAAAAGAAATACATCATTTTGTCTTCTGCAGATGGTAATGATTTGTACTGTCTCTGGTGTTAATTTAAATGCGATACCCAAACAATGTAGGCGAAAAAAATTACCAAGTTTAGGGCATAATTGTCCGTAGGTACATGTTTGTATATTTATTCGAAACTCGTCTTGAACAACAGTAGTCGTATCTTAAAACGACACTCACCTAGGCTATATATAGATCATTCTTAAAAAAAGTTTAACATCTCTAGCATATATAGCTTCGGCTATAGCGGGCTTCAAATATGGCACAAACGACAATTGTCAAAAACCCGTCGTCCTTCCTCGCTCCTTCGGGAATCTATTTTCCTAAAACCAAGCATGCCAGATGATTGAAATAAACGGCATTGTCTTTCGCAAGGAATGCGTCACCCCATGTAAAATTGCAAAAAAAAAAAAAAAAGAAAAGAAACAACGAATGTACCTTACTGCTTGAATCCAACTGAAACCGCCCGCCGGTTTTTCGAAGTTCGACGAGCTTCGAACTTTTACCCTAAAAGGTCGAAGTTCGTCGAACTTTTGACTTTTCAGGAATCAAGAGTTCGACAATGTTCGAATTCTTTATATTAATAAGTTCGAAAGTTCGAAAATTATCGAATTTCTTAGCGTAGGAAGTTCGAAAGTTCGAACAGCTTCGAACTTTTTAGTGCAAGAAGGTCGAAAGTTCGAAAATCATGGAATATTTTAGTCTATCAAGGTCGAAAGTTCGACAAGCATCGAATATTTTAGTCTATCAAGGTCGAAAGTTCGACAAGCATCGAATTTTGCAGCATAAAAAGTTCGAAAATTTGAAAAGCGTCGAACTTCTTAGTTTAATAAGTTCGAAAATTCGACTTCCGTCGATTTCTCGATATGGAAAGTTCGAAAATTCGAAATCTTTCGAACATTTGGAACCGCTTGATTCGATCATCGAAACTTCGATTCGAAAAAAGCTCCCGGCATCCCTAGTCGAGTGAGAGAGATCAAGAGAGCGCGCGTACCAAAACTCAACTGGTTTATTTCCACTTTCCGTCCTGGACGACGCGCATTTTCCTCTCCTTGGCTACGTCCTTCCGAGGCGGGACAGGGAAGAACGTATAGCCACGTTGCTCACCGCCCGGGTGAGCGACGTGGCTACGTGGGTCACCGCAACTTTGTTAGCACTCACTGAAGCGGGGCCTCCGCCTCTCATGGTCCCCCGTCCTAGAAACACTCTACCCCGTCCCACTATGAAGTCCGCGTTTGCTGGTGGATTGTCGGGGAGCCTTTTGTGGTTGTTGGTAAAAGATTACCCCCTCGTCTCGACGGGAGCGGAAAGCGCTCCGCCGGCACACCGATAGATTAACAAGTACAGAAACACTGCATCGGCATGTGTTTTCAGTTGTCGCATCAGCTTGCACAGACGTTAGCCGCGCAAAACACTGACAAATGATTTCGTAGTTGTATTTTTTTTCCCTACTGGCCGGGGTAAGCTGAACACGAAAAACTTGAGCCGCTCTTCGAGAAACAGAACCAGATGCGAGTGTACTGGGCGTCTGGTTCTGAGGGCTTTTGAGACCTAAAATCTTTACCTACAAAAAAAGAAAAAAAAAAAAAAAAAAAAAGAAAGAAACGTTTGGGGTGACGCCGCTTGGAGCACTCAGCACTCTATGTGTTCTTTTGCCACCTGGTCTTTCAGCGCAGTACCGCGTTTGCAGGCTGCCTTTGCCGCGAATTCCTCCGATTGAAAATTTTTCTGGTTAGAACAGGATGTGTCCCAAACATCCCTTCCTTTTACCACTGTAAAAGCCACGCCTCTATTCACGAGAAGGCACTCGCGGCTCTCATTCGCAGTCGACGTAGTGTTTTTCAATTAAGGTGGAGAATTTTACTCTTTCCCAGACGGCGCGCATATGGGAATAATTATAGATATTTTATTGCCGCACGGAACGTCGCGTTCGTTATGATAAGGATTCTCCACCTCCTGGCCTCTGATTAGTTCTACTGGGTTAAGGGCGTGCACATGCAACGCAGTGGTATTGATGATATGTATTCTAGGTTTGGTTTGCCAACTCTTTTTATCGGCTGTGACGCCGTTCATGTGGAAAGAGAAACAAATAGGCGCCACCAATAAACACCGTCCGGCTAAAGATTCCATGTTGAGTGAGGTGTCTATAAGAGTTCAAAATTTCCCAAGATATTTATCTGGTTCTAAAATTCCGCTTCGAGATGTCCAGTCGGAAGCGCCAAAGTGGTGCGTCTAAATGAAAGGCAAAGTTAGTGAGAAAAGAGCACGAGAAGAAACTACCAAAAACGCCAAAATATCTAGTGAATGCAGCTTCCGCGGAGTCGCACGATTGCTCCACCGTGAGTCCTCATCTTAAAATCCCCAGTAACATTAGTACCGACACCGCTCCTGCAAAAGACTCGTCTACTCCACCCTGCCCTCGACTTCCTGATGAGCGGCAAGCATCCACTCTTCCTGGTCCTCCGGATGCTGAACAAGGGATACCCACCTCACCAATTTCCTACTGGTGAGCAAGAGACGCCGATTGGGGAAAGACTCGTCTACGCCACCCTCCGCTCGACTTCGTGATGAGCGGCAAGCATCCACTCTTCCTGGTCCTCCGGATGCTGAACAAGGGATACCCACCTCACCAATTCCTATTCAAGAGGAACAGACGTCGGTTGGGGGAGCACTGTCCTGTGCCGCAGCAAGTGACGTCGATTCTACCTGTCCCAGCCTCTACCACCGAGCTCCACGCGTCCGTTCTCCCCTATCCGATCTACTCTAGCTGCTGATCAACATGCGCAAACCCTCCCCGGTCAGATTCCTGCTGCTGACAGCGCCTTCAAACGACACTCCAAGAGCCCTTTCACCTGTTCCCTGGGGGTTTGGATCATCGTTCTGCCACCCACGGCGTAGGCCTCGAGAAAAAGGATTAGCTGTCTTCATGTTTGAACGGAAACCTGGCAGGGGCTCACAAGCATCATGAGGTAGGCTCCGTGAATGTCCGGGACCCAGCTGACTGACTGGCCGGCTGTTATTACTGACCGGTTTCGGGCTGAATGCATCGAGAAGGGACCGATGTATTTTCAAAATCGGGCAGAGACTTTTCCGTCTTCCGAAAGACAATACAAAAGCCAGAAACGCTATATATGTCACCTGCTTTTTTTGCGCGAAAGGCTGTAAATGGGAAAGCGTACAAGAGGCACTGGTTAATGTACTCGAAGTCAAAAAGTTCCGTTTATTGTTTCATGTGCAAACTATTTTCGACCCCGAGCAACCCGAGTTCCTTCACCAGGCATGGATTTTGTGACTGGAGAAGAGGAGAGGAAAAGGTTTGCGCACATGAAAACAGTGTCGGCCACAGGACCTCTGTGGCGGCATGGCTATCGCTCTCTAATTCGGGCAATACCGTTGACAAGGAGCTCGTCAAGCACCTCGTCACTCAGGCCGCTTACTGGACAGAGGTATTAAAGCGCGTGGTCAAGCTTTTAGCTGAACGAAGCCTAGCGTTCAGGGGGAGTGAGGAGGTTTTGGGTTCTTTGCGAAATGTAAATTATAAGGGAGTGCTTAAAGCCATTGCCCAGTTCGATCCCTTTCTGGGCGAACACATTAAGCGCCATGGAAAGAAGGGCAAAAGCCACCCGTCATACATGTCAAAAACAATTTGTGACGAATTTATCGAGCTTATGGCAAAGGCCGTCAAAGACCGCGTCTTCTTAACGAAGTTAAACGGGTAAAATATTTCTCTTTAATAATTGGTTCGACCTCAGACCTTACCCACGTTGACCAGCTGTCAGTTGCTTTACGCTACTGTTTAAAGGGAAAAGTGCATCAACGCTTCCTTGGATTTGTTCCGATTGAATCGCATACAGGCTTGAATATTTTCAATACTGTGATGTCTCTTGACAACCAAAGGCATCTCGGTTGACGACTGCAGGGACCAGGCGTATGGCAACGCGAGTAATATGTCGGGGAAGTACAAAGGACAGCAAGCGCAAGTTAAACTCTTCAACAAGTTGGCCGTCTACGTCCCGTGCGCAGGCCATTCACTAAACTTTGTTGGCGCGTGTAGCGTCGACAGTTGCCTTGAGGCCGTCCAATTTTTTAGTTTAACTCAGAAACTGTACGCGTTCTTTGTTGCCTCCCCTAAGCGGTGGAAATATCTTTTAGACGGCATGAGTGGAACTGGTGAACACCTTGTTCTAAAAAGCCTTTCTGAAACCAGGTAGGCAACACATGCCGAATCATGTAAGGCCATTCGTAAAAATTTTAAGGCGGTTCAGTGTTGCCTTCAATCTATCTCAAAGAACGGAGAAGGAAACGGTGACACCCGGAATGAAGCGCTCTCTCTTTTTATGACAAAGCTATAGATCGCGCTTATGACCATCATTCTGGAGTTAAATCTTGGAGCGTTTTGACAAAACCAGTGTAGCACTGCAGAAGCCTGGCTTAGATATTTCGACTGCTGTCGATCTTCTGAGCTGTCTGGAAGGGTTTGTCAATGCACCGATCTCACCAGCTAGTTTGAGTACGCCACCGCTATCGCCGATCACCGCGGTAACTGTAGTTTTTCTGCACGCGCGGCAACTGCGCTGGAAGTCTTCGCGAGCAGAGCACGAGACGACACGAGCTATCTCTTGCACAGGCGCCTACCTCTTGCGAACTACAGTTATGGCGGCATCACGCATGCCTAGAACGCTTAGTGAGATCGGTTTATTCGTTGCTATCTCTCTTTGATACCTTTGAGGCGAGAGCACGCATGTTGAGTACCATTCAGAGTTATCGGGATGAGGGCGAACGTATCGTTTCGAGAAGGTACCCGAACGGAAAAAGCGATTGTGCGCTACAACGTATGGACAAGTTTCGTAGAGACCTACAGTGTCGTATTTGACAGTCTGAGCTCTGCTTTGCGGGTGCGGAAGGTCATAGTAGTAGTAAGCGTTGTATCGAAAAGGAAAACCTGAACAGTGGCCACTCCTAAAAATGGGGGCGAGTCAGTTCAGGGTTGGGGAATGGGTTAGAGCGGGGACAGATTAATAGAAAAGAAAGAAAGAGAGAGAGAGAGAGAGAGAGAGAGAGAGAGGGGACTAAGGTCGGGTACTCGTGGCTTATACGCGGTCGAATAATTCTGTGTTTTCTAAGAATGTGAGGAGACGAGCGAATGATTTAGAAGCGGTCTCGGCCGGACTCGGGGGACGCTCCGTGCGGGAACTATAGGGGGCACTTTGAAAAACGCGCAGCGCCGCTAGCGGAGGAGCTGCCGTTCGACAGTGAGGCGCGTTCAGCAGCCTGCGGCGCCTTTTAGCATGCCAAGCTTTGGTGGCGGAAGCGCGCACGGACGAAACTTTTGCTTTTTGAGCCGATACGTTGAGGGTGACGTTGCATGAGTGCTGGGGCAGAAGGGAATTTAGCTGTTCTCCACTTATATATTGAGTTTGAGTCGTTATTAGGGGTAATTTCTCTAGTTGCGGCCGAAAAAGGAGTTGGAGCAATTTTCCGAAAAGCAAGACGGCCGCCACCATAATTGCTCTGAGTGGGAAATTTATTTCGCTCGTCGCTGTAAACGTAGGACTGCTGGAACGATGATATTTGGAGGCGAGTGAGATGTTCACTAAGTTTGTGCACGAAGTGTGCCAAGTTTCATTAAGACAGCAGGTGTGAAAGTTATGTTTCTAACGAATAAAAAACTAATTTTTGAGACATTCTCCTTCTCTTCCTTGTCGTCGTCTGTCCTTACCTCAGTCTCGGGTTTTTCACTAAAATGTTTAATATACACCAGCTCACTTGCGCCCTTACGTTCTGCTCAAAGAAATAAAGCTGTACGGGATATAAAATATTGGACCCAAAATGTTGTGTTATTGGCCTCCAGATCGACCTAGAGGTGGCGCTACGGTGCGCTATCATCATCATCAAAGCGGGGATAGGAGAACGGCCGCCCCATAGGCTCTCCACGTTCGCGCGCGAGACGGCGTAGATTCTTGCGTTTATTTTGTCGCATACTATCGGTGGGAAAACAATTCTTGCGGAAAAAGATCCAGTACTGTTCGGTGCTTCAGTGAAGATCGAATCGTGTTGCCAGGGTGCGGCCTAAATTTATATAATCGCTTCTGTCGGTGCGTCTTCTGCTCTAGGCAGACGTTGGAAAGCATGGATCACCACGACTGAGGCCTGTCTCCGTCTGAACTGGAATATTTATGTTAAATATTTGTTTCTTTTAAAATGGATGTATCGGTTCATCAAGGTGGCAATTAAAAAAAAAAAAAAAAGATTCCAACCCAGATAACACAATACTGGCATTGTTGGCTGTGAAATCGCAGCTTCTATGCTTTTTAACTTCTAGCTCTTGCAGTAATATAAATATTTAGAATGAAGATAAGCGCTGTATTGGAAATTACCATGCTATTGAGCTCCTCTGCCCTTTTACTGTGCGATAGTGTGGGTAAGTTTTTTGGAGTCTGAACAAATCTACTGCGTTGCGATGAGGAGAGAGAGTCTTTTCCAGTTAAATTCTGCAAACTGCACGGTTGGCAGGCCAACTGAAACAAGTGAAACAAACTCTTCTAATATATCTGCCGTGACTGTAATAAACAAGTGTAACCGAGCAATTAAATGCTTTTCTCGGTAGTGTGGGTTCACCCGCTTCAATTTTCTTGGTGAGGGCGCGGATGTCAAGAGGCTAATACTATAAATTTCTGGCTAAATAATTGTAGCGGCAGCTCTCGGCAGCGATCCAGCACTTGAACGGTGCCAAGCTCACGGGACAGGCACGAGCTAAGGACACGAGGTGCCAGTACCACGAGCTGCACGGAATCTGGAATTCGGCGAAGGGCCCCTCGATGAGGTAGTCAAAAAGAACAGTGTAAACATTGTAAATAAATATGTAGAGTGTGATTTACCGAGCCTCCGCTCCTACATAATCTTGTATTCAAACACAGTAGACTTTGCAACCCAAACAAACGACGCGCACCACGACAGAGACAGCATCGGCCGCAGCGATACTCTTTTACTGATGATGACTAGCGGCCTTCACGAGACTTTCCGATCACCCTCCGCCCTCACCTAACGTATATCGGGACTGGGCAGTTTATCGAATAACTCTCAGATTATTCAAGTAATGCTTTAATTACATTTTTTTTTGCCGGTTAATTGGAATTTTGTGCTGGAGAAAGTCAAGAAGGAGTAAAAAATGCCTGCTTCAATATTTTTGACGTCTTTATTTCTTTTGTGACACAGGCTTGCACGGTGAACCACTTCAGCGTGCTTCTAATTTCGCCGAGGGTGATTACACTGTTTAAGTATAAATAATAACTAAAAAAACACTCAATTTTTAAAAGCTTAATTCCCGCGTTCATGTTTATGTAGGACTCACAATGTGAAGTTTAGAATGGGAATGCAATATGGCCATTTATGGCATAGTAAAACCAATAAAAATATGTGTAGTTTTAACTTCTTTCACGCAATATGACCGGCGAAAAATCAGCATACGGATTTATTGATTGATTAGTCTATTAAAGGATAGCGATCAGCCCGATTAATTTTCTAATCAAACCACAGACCCACTCAAGATTCAGTGCTTAATGAAAGCCACGGTTTGTGCGAGATAACAAGAATATGTAGGACCAGCGATTGTATACAAGCCAACACAGTAAGATTATGGAAGCTTCCGACCTGATAATAATCGCTTTGCTGAATTTTTACGCTTGGGAAACGATACAAGACAACCTTTAGTAAGAAGAAACGGCAACAAAAATATAAAACATTTAATAAGGAATGTCAAGCTCAGCCTGAAACGGGCTTGCGTCGTCGAGATCTATGCTTCTGAGCGTGCGCCCGTAGCAGACGACGCACGGCGGTATCCCCGCTTTCGCCCGTTTCCGATTTCGGCCGCACGGTGGCGACACAGTGCGGGCTGTGCAAAGTGCAGATTTCGGCATTGTACCAAAATGAGTTGCTGGGCGAGTTGGATAGACATCTTGACTTAAACAGCGCAAATAAGTTACGTAAGGAAGAGACAACAGGAAGGAAAGAGCGCTCTTTCCTTCCTGTTCTCTTCCTTACGTAACTTATTTGCGCTGTTTAAGTCAAGATGCAGATTTCGGCACACAGGTGCTTGTACTTGCCAGTAACATGACACAGCACTTGTTATACCAAAAAGAGATGACATATGGAAACCAGGTGGAAATTTGGTTTGGGCGGCGTAACTCAATGGGAACCGGTTTTGGCCATGAAAGGGCTGTCAAGAGAATACCACTGGTTATTCTTTTGGGACGTGGAGCCTTTACAGGTAGGAAGGGACTAGTGGACTGTACTTCCAATTGAAACAACTTTACGGAAGGCGGTTCTAAAGCCGAGAAAACAAGGTTGTCGGCAAACACACGGTTTGGCCGTCAAGGACTTTTGCGCTCAGCTGTTGTGTAATAACCTGTTGTGCGAGGTGCTGATTTTCGGCGCACAGGTACTTTCAAATGACCGTAATTTGACAGAACACTTACTATATCAAAAAGAGTTGGCATAGCGAAACCAGGTGGAAATTTAGTTTGGGCGGCGTAATTAAATGGGAACTGGTTTTGACCGTCAAAGGCTGTCCAGATAATACCATGTCATCGCGCGAGGTGCAGACTTTACAGGTAAGAAGGGACCAGTGGAAGGAAGATCCGTTCGAATCTTCCTTCATGAAGTACAGATTGCGTGCCATACTTGTCCGGGAATATCATCGACACGTACGATGGGGACGAAACTTGTTTGGAGAGGGCATTCCTCCAACGAAATCCGCATTGCATACCCACGAGTGTGGGATGGCATTTCAGTTCGTCCCATCGGAGCTAGCGCATGTGGGTGTTACTGGTTCGAAAACAAACGCAGGGCGTAAAGCGACAGTGTAGAATATGTCAGCCGTGCGGACACAGTGGCAGATATGATCGGGAGACCACATTTCTCGCGTCGTACAGCACAAGTCCATCGTTGTCGCTGTCCCACAAAACATCGGCGAGGCGAAAAACTGTGAAACTTTTTCCCCACGAGATACGACGCATAACTATTGAAGCACTTAACGACGCAGCACTTGCAGCACTTGATGCTGTGAACCCAGCCCAACCGCACCGCTCCGACTTCAATGCGTATCAACGTACGCGGCGTGGTTTCGGTTTCCTTTTCAATGGCGTTCTCACTGCCTACCTTAGGTACCGGCCGCGCGGCGGCGCGCCAGTCGCGTCGCACGGCCCGTCGTACTGCAGGCGAAAGGTTGCCTACGCCGAAGTCTGCGAGAAGTTCGGGTTCTTAAAATTGCTGACAGAAGTTGGGGACGAGATGTCTTTGGCACAGCAGGCCGAGAAGTTGGTGAAAACTTACAAAAATGATTTAGAGCCAGCATTTTCAGCCCGAGGTAATTCAGTTTTCCAACTTTCTGCAAAGTTTTGCATGCCAGGACACGATCCTGCATGCCAGGATGAATGCAATCGCTGCACGAAAGGAAACTTATTCATATGTCTCCGAACCTTTCGATTGTATTGCGAATATACATAAACATACACGTGGCAAAATGTGAAAGCGAGCGATCGTTTTCTAAGTTGTCACTGGTAAAGAATTGCCTTCGTTCTAACATTCTGGACGAGAAGCTGAACTCGCTCGCTATCATGTCAATTGAGAGTGACTTTCTCCACGATCTTTTGAACAAACTATATCAGATTTTGCCAAAGCGAAGGCGCGAAAGATGCCGTTTTAGAGGAATGAATTAGTAGTCCTATACACTCTATACACTTATATATCTTCGCGCCATCTGTCCTAACTTCCACGTTGTCGAGAAAGCGCTTAGCTGCCAATAAGAAAAGTCGAAGCTGGCTCTTTGTCTCGTGTTTTTTATTGTTACGATATCCTTTTGCCTCAGCATTGTCTCATTTGCTTTTTTGCTAATTTAAACGTGCTGACGATTGGCTTTTAATATTTTTTGTCCAACTCATTACCAAAGGGTGCCCGTGAGAAGCATATAACGTTTGTTTGGTGTCATATTTGTCAACTATTTCCAATGTATGCATTTTGGTACATTGTTTTGTAACTTAATGTTGGCAATTTCCATTTGCACTGTAGCGTCCTCTTTATTGTTAGTGTTGCCTTATATATTGTATGTTGATTATATGTATTCATTGTGTATTCGGTGTGTAACATATGGACACATTCTTGCTCTGCTGCTTTGTGATGTTTGGGTTCGATTTTAATAAACAATTTTTCGAATACAGTCGATCATGTCTACTTGCGTGATTAGCGGTCTAAACATTTCCGGAAAACAAAATACGCAGAAAACGGACGTTCGAAGTTAATGTAGCCGTTGGTGCCTACAAGCAGTGGCGTAGGCAAGGGGGGGGGGGGGGGGAAGGGCTTGGGGGTCGAGCCCCCCCCCCCCCCCTCCCCCCCCCCCCCCCCCCCTTCGGTGCCTGCATTGGGCCCACTCATGCAGTCGGTCTTGCACGGGGCACGGAACAAAGGGGGAGTGCGGACTATCTCCAAATTATATGCTTTCGGGAAAAGTGTTTCTGGAGTAGAAACTTCTCGAATAAATAAAATGGTCTATATTTTTTCATTCATGCTTATTTGATGGGATGCGGAACTTGGCCTCAGATATATAGAGAACGGATATTTCGAAACATTTGTGGAGTGAAGGATGGCAATTTCAAGGCAAAATATAACGCACTCTCCTCACCGAAAGACATAGTTAAATCAAACTAAAGTGAATATAATAAAACGCACACATGATGATGATATAAAACAATGCCAGTGATGTAAGGAATAATAAATGAATTGTAAAAACAATTGCACTGTAAGCAACGTATGGCGCTGCGCTCACGCACACCTTGTGTACTGATCAGAATTACGTGCTTTCGACTAGAAATTCCCGCGAATAAAAAAGTGACTGTGACTAGTTAGTTCGGAAAGCAATTTACAGGCTCTCTTAATCATTTCGTTTATGCCAAGCGCCTACATTTGAAGATGCAGCCGCCTGCGTTCACGGCAAAGAATATCCAGTGTGTCCACCTCTTGAACTTGAATGTCGCGGTGAACATTCAAAATCATTACTTAACCCCTTTCGTACATCCACATAGCACCCTTCTTACACCCTTTCCTATATAGAATTGTATAGTGGGTGTTTTAGTCGTGTCGGTCACGCTTCTAACACCCTTGATGATGATGAAAATGAGGGTGTTAGAAGGGTGTATTGAATAAGATTACACCTTTAATGGTGTAAAGAAAGCGAAAAGCTTTCAATGAAATCCGAGGAGACCTGCTTGCCAGGTGCAGTTTTTCAAGTATGAATCGTTTTCTCGGATTATGTTTTAGTTGTAAATGCCGGCGTACAACTTGTACAACCTGTACATATGTAAATATATTTTTTTTCATAAAAACACAAATTTGTGCGGTGACCGCCTTTTTTATTTTTTATTGTTCGACCTAAATAAAATTACACAACGTTGTTAGTCTGTCATTTATTAATTTTTATGTTTAGAAAAAAAGAAAACGCGTCTGCTTGAAGTGGGTGTTACAAGCAGAAAAAAAAAATATTAGAGCTAAATTTTCCTTTCTTTTTAGCGCGTCTTCTGGGCAGAGTGTCCCAGACTCCCAGGATAACCTCATAACTGCGATCATCTTTCCACTGGTACGAATTGTCTCTGGAAGCACGATCGCTTATAAAACAGAGCACTTTCATCGTACTATGACTCAAAACGTTCTTTGTAAAAAAAAAAAAAAAAAAAAAGATAAGCAAACGGCTTATGAGGTAACGTACAGTCGATTTTTACAAGAGTTACACATAAATGACAGAACATAGAAAGCACATCTGTTTGTGCTGTCTGTGTTCTGTCCTGTATGCGTGATTCTTTCGTAAAAAATGTATGTAATATCAACGCGCTTTCTAAAAGAACAGCATGCAGTCGTTTTTTGTTTTTTTTTCGTTCACGCTTTGTTTTATGATGTAACATGAATGCGCGGATTACGGGTCGGATACTGTTTCGAATTTTTCGGATGCGGATACAAAGTGTGCGGATTCGGATCGGAAGCGGATAAAATGATTTAAGAAAATTGTTGATGCGGCTCGGATGCAGAGTCTGCAGATACAGATCGAATGATCAAACTGCTGTCCGCGCAGGTCTCTAAGCTGCAAACGGAACTGGCGTTACAGACAGATGTGACGTTTCTGATAAAGCGTTGCATTTGCTGTTTCATCCAAAACTAAACATTCCTCGCTAAAAAAAAAAAAAAAAAAGAAAAAGCTTGTTTTGTTTTTTACATAAAAAAGTTGCCCTTGCTGGGTTTAAGAAGAGCGGTTGCCTCCCCCCCTCCCCAAAATCAGCCCCTGGTTCTGCAGCGCGAGCTTTCGATCATTACCCCGATTCGATACGCCGGGAGCCTCATTCCAAAGGCGTGTCCATTGCAGCCCAGCCGCCCAGCCGCCCAGCTGCGAAAAGTTCCTATCAGTTCCTTCAGAGCGATACCGGTCTGAAGGAACTGATAGCCTTGAAGCAGCAAAGATACGCGCCGCCGCTCCTGTCACAAAGACTTGCATGGTTCGTCCTGTCGATCGCGCGTTTGTTTCGCGACTCCTGCCAAACCGAATGTCGCGCTGATTGATGTGCAGTTAAACACGCCGCCCGCGTAGCATGGAACTACCTACGGAAGGTGCGACTGCCTACCAGGTGGTCCTGACTGGATTCGGAGGTTTCGACAAGTTGGCGGTTAGCGAAAGAGCGGTCGCTGCCCACGACGACGAGCTCGGAGATTCCGACGTGCGGGTGCGGGTCAGAGCGTGCGGGATGAATTTCGCCGACAACTACGTGCGCCAAGGAATCTACGTCACTGGGAACCTACGGCCACCGCTGGTGATGGGCATGGAGGCAGCGGGAGACGTTGTCCAGGTTGGCAGCGACGTCCGAAGAATCAAGGTTAGTTCCAGGCTAGAGGGTTGATTCGGCCAAGATCGCAGTTACATTGTATACCGCGCGACACAGGTCGCTCCAAAATGACACGGGCACTTTGAAAGGCGACAGCATTTACATTGTAACGAGTATCCTTTGTAGAAATCTTGTAACAAAAAAAAAAAAAAGAAAAAAAAAAGTGGAAATATTTTTGATGCCTGGCTTCGGCAGCAACTAAACTGAATTCGCAGAAGGGTCAGCAACAACAACCAAAATACCCTTTTGCTACCCCCCCACCCCCTTAAAAAAAAAAAAAAAAAAAAAAAAAAAACCCGAGGAAAAATTTAAAAGGCGTTAGAAGCGTGGAATACGATCAAATTGTACTAAAGCCACTAAATAAGGCATGCGCCTCAGAGTAATGATATTCCATTCATCTACGTACGCGTTCATTGCTTCTAGTTATCTTAGGCCTTTATCTCAAATCGCGGGAAACGGCGTTCCGTCCTCCAGAATTGTTAAAACAAAACCTTGACAGAGCAAAGCTCTATCGCTTGGGCTCTTTGACGGCGTGTCTAAAGACCACGCGACACCGAAGAGACAGAGAGGATAGCGCAGTTGCTCGCCTGCCCTCGCCCTCTCGCCGTCGCCTCTGTCTTCTGCTAGAACCGGTTGCACCTAGAGTTACCGGCATTCCTTTCGGCGCCGCAGACGGCGCTGTACGCTTACCAAAATTAACTGAACGAGTAATTAAATGGTGGGGCCAGAGTATCGCCTTCCTTTTCCTTTCGCCACCAACTTCCCACTGGCGGAGAAATTGTTACATGCGCCACGTTTTACTTTTTTTCTTCTTTTTTTCGCATGCGGGGAATTTATTTTACGGAGCCACAGGTTTGGGGCGGGACATATGTTTCGCTTTGCACTTGTGACATGTAGATCTTACACCGAAGTATGACAAACTGCTTCTTGAATCCTAGAACGTTGTGTGTGCCACCTAGCTGCCTTAAAGGGGTACCAAAGTGCTTTTTGAGATCCTCGCTTTATTTCATAGCTCAATCTACGTGCTCTAATCCCCGTAAAAAACCGAAATTACATTCATGCGCGGCCAATTTGCGTATTAAAAAAAAAGTTATAAAAGTTCCTGACGCTTACAGTCGGCGCAGAACGACAGATGGCGCTATCGAACCTTGCTGAATATGGTCGAACGACGGACTGCGCCTGTGAGCCCCTCGCGAGTGATGGGTTCCCGCGTGGACAAGCGGGACTGGTCGGCCGCTCATCCACGCGGGAATCCATTGCTCGTGAGTGGCTGACAGGCACTGCCCGTCGCCCGGCGATATTCAGCAAGGTTTGGTAGCACCATTTGTCGTTGTGCTTCGACGGTAAGCGTCAGAAACTTTGATCACTGTTTTTGCACGCAGATCAGCTTCGCATGAATGTAATTTCGAATTTTTAGGGTGATTAGAGCTCGAAGACTGAGCTATGACAATAAAACGAGGATCGAAATAAAACACTTTAGTAACCCTTAAAGCTGGTTCAGACACACGAGTTCAATGACGGTTAAGAGCTGAGCGTGTTGGTACATACTTGTAAATAGATCAGCTTGAACTTTATAACTTTTTTTCGTGTTCAAGTATCATTCTGAAGTTCAGGCTTATCTATTTACACGAGTTTAATTTTGTTGTGTGTATGCTTATACGTACAACCTTGAAGTTAGTCTGCCTCAATGAGCGACTTGTCTCTCAGCTCTAGATGAGGAATGTAGCCAGAGCAGTACAACCGCTGTAGCCTGGGGTCCTTAACGTGCACAGTGCAGTAGTGAGACACGACCGCGCGCCGGTACGATGCTCATCCAGATCGAAACGGGCAGGGGTAGGGACTCTCTCTATACCCTACACTATACTAGACCTGATTAAACGCAAACTGTTTTTTAAATGTTACCATAAAGAACATTTAGTTTTATTTTATATAGTTATCAAATTAAGAACGAATGCCCATCTCATCAGAAATATTTGAACTTGTACAGTTATTTTATTAAATTCTTGTTTATTATAATTGAAATACAGAAACACCTTTATGTCAGGTTACACCTTGGTTATCGTCGGGCTTGTGGAGCCTGTGAATCTCAACTATTTTTTCAACTTGTTTATTTTATGGGCAACCTTTGTTTTGAGGTCTTGTCTCATTGTCTTTCCGTTATCGGACTTGGGAAGAGATTTCATAAAGAAGACACCTCCATACAGCTGCTTGAACTCTGCTGCTTGACCTTTAAAACAGAAACCAAGGTAAAATAAAGACGCATAATGGTCTAATCAATCTCCCGCAAGCTCACCACTCTATTCATGTAACAATATTTTGTGCAGAAAAAAAAAAAAGCAGAAAGCCGTTTACGTTTTGTGCTCATGTAGTTCTGAGAATTAGAGAAAAAGCAAGGCACAAAGCAAGGACATCTGCTCCTGTCATGCCATGTGCATTGTTGGGAGTAATTTAACTACTGTAATATCCCGAGGAATAGCTTAACTAAAATCAAGAGCAAATCGGGTGAAAATAAGGAGTGGGCTAACCTTCTTGCACAATGAAAAAAGTTGAACAAACAACAACACTATTTTCAGATTTAACAGTGTAGCAAAGATGGGAATATTACAAAAAGCAAAGCAAAGTTGACAGTATTTTGATTAGACAGTGAAACAATGATGACAGTAATGTTCGCTTATCCCGCCATAGCTAACTAGCCGCATTTACGCCGGGGCCATCATTGATCCGAACACTACGATTACCAGGAGTGGGCTATTTTTCGATGTTTAAAAGAAAATAGATATTCAAGCTCAAAATAAGGGTGGGACATTTCTTGGGACATAACGGTAGTGTTTTTCTTTATTACCACTTTCAAATAGATGTGCCCCGCTAGATAATAGCCGGCTCTTATATGTAAACCTTTTCGAAGACTCATATTCGCGTCACCAAATTTTTAATTGAATGCTTCGAAATCTTCAGATTAAAAAAAAAAAAAAGCCCTATCAACCAAAACGGATTATCCTAATATGTAGTGTTTTTTAATCGTGATAAAAACGAAACAGTGTATTTTCTCCGGTCACAAAAGCTTCACATAGATTTAAAATATGTTCATAACAAGGCCAAACAAATAATTTGCTCGAAAAATTCTTCTCTAATATGATTATTCGCATTTTGGAGAAGCTTTTATTTTTACTTCAAATATTTTTTTGAATATGTTGTAATTTTTGTAGAATTTCGTGCAAACGGCGAAGATTATAATTTCTAGATATTGTTATCCATAAATAATTGGAGCTCATAGGCCGCTTTCTGCCAAACCAACGTTTTATATTATACTTAAAATTTGAGCTTTGAAATGCGCAAGTTAGACATGCTCATAACACACCAAAAGACAAAATTGGTATCGGGAACTTGATATATACCAGCAATGAGTTCCTTCAGTTCAGTCGCCAGACTCTCGAGGTTCTTGTCGACGCCGTCTTTGACAACGACACAGGCTGTTGGAGCCTCACCATACTTCGGGCTCGGGACACCCACGACAGCGGCCTCCGCGACAGCCTCGTGGGTGATCAAAATTTCTTCCAGCTCAGTAGGGGTGACCACGTTATCCATGCATTTTATCATCTGTTTCAATCTCTCAATAATATGGAGCCGTCCTTCATTGTCGTAGTAGCCTAAATCTCCTGAAAAGCAACATAAATATTGTCAAATGTTAACGCTCCTTGTTCAGTGCGCTTGCAGTAAAATAAACAGGCGTGTTTTTATTTAGCTACGCGATTTTTGTTTACTTTTTGAGCATTTCAAATAAAGCTTTATTATTCAATATTCAACTCGAACTTAAATTTTTGGCCACCATTCGGCAGTACGAATTCGATTCGAGCTGAAATTTCACTATTCGCGCAACTCAAATATTTCTTTAATTTAAATGCCCTTTAAAACAACTTCTGATAGATTGGTTTTACGCCACACTGAGCTTGAAGCAATGCCTCACGAGGGGAGTCGTCACCTTTGAACTAATATTGGTGTGGCGAAAGCGGCGACTTGCGGCAGGTGTTGTGTATGGTTAGCTGCCTCGTGAGGGGTGTGAAACCAAGCCATGAAAGATGATTACTCGCGTAAATAAGCATCTCTTTTGTAATGATCCTAATTACATCGAACGTATGAACTTTAGAAAATGCACTATGACTATCGGTCATATACATTACAACACGAAAGCAAGAGAACACTACATGACGTATGCGTCATGTGGTGTTCTCTTGTTTCTCTTGTCAAGCACGGCGGATGGGTGTCTAGATGCGCTACGCTGCACGCTTCTGTGCGCACACCTAGCACACAGCGATGGCAACCGTAGTAGGATCGTAGTGAACCTTTGAGCATCATGTGAAAACTCCAGATATTAATAATTCAATATTTCCTTCCATATTTTGTCAACAGCATTGGTTGGACACCAAACCACAGTGCTTTGAGGCTCAACGGACACACTATGAGCAGGGTAGCATAAAAAAAGTGCATCATAATACGCCAGACCGATGACTATTTAGGCGCAATTGAAGTATTTGTGTCTGATCGAGAACGTAATCTTATAATCTGGAATAAGAACAAAAAAAGAAAAATGCACGAAAATGAGATGAGTGTTGCACCTGTGCGCAACCATCCATCGCTGCTCAAAACTTCAGCAGTAGCTTCGGGATGTCCCAGGTAGCCCTTCATGATTCCTCGGGCGTGAACCGCAATCTCGCCATTCTGGTACGGTTCGAGAGAGTCTCCGCTGGTTATGTCTATAACCTGGGCATCATATTAGTTCATCAATTCCTTTCTTCTTTTTAGAATTATATATACTAGAAGCAGTGGCGTACCAACTTGTTTTTGAGTGGGGGGGGGGGGGCAAACCAGACCCCCCCCCCCCGCCCCCCCCCCCCCCCCCGCACACACAGGGCCGGGGGGCGGTGCCCTTGATATCCCATGGACGCCACCGGCCAGTGTTTGCCCTGCCCAGTGGCGGCTGTTTCAGGGGGGCG